GAATCTAGACTGTGTGCCAAAAAAATCATGGCACGACGTATCGGACTATAACTAAGGCAGCAGATTGCAGAACATTCCTGATAGGCTTTCAGTGCTGATTGATGTTATCCGGTGGTGCTGTGTCTAGATTTTCAGCTACTTTGTTTTGAAGGAGAGTTGGACAAGTTGGTTCGAACGGTTGATTACAGTCTAACAGTCATTGTGTCGTGAGTTAGCAACGCCCACCGAGGCACATGGACAGCTTAGCACAAATTAATGCGTGGTCAGATTCGATAGGAGTGCTCCAGTACGATTTACAGTCTTGTGTGCAACCCCGCCATTTGTAGCTTATGGCAATGTGGTCCATCTACGTGCGTCGCTGACTCGAGGAAAGCGGACGCCGAGTGGTGTAGCGGTAGTCGGGTTGTCTGAAGTTCGTACTGGCGAAGAATAGGCGGTGTTCGGAACAGCCCATGGCTATTCCCCCTTTTCTGAGCAACAGGAATCTAGTCCGAAAGGACCTCCGAGATGCACTTCACACGAAGTCAGCCGACCTACTCGCATTCATATCTTTTGCTTTACGCAAGAGGTCGAGTAGTTTTTGACCGCAAGTAAATTAGTGTTTTGGACGGAGCGAAACCAAACATTGTACACAAGGAGAACGTTGGGCAAGGTGGGTGCTCGTGTGTACAAATAGTTTTGGGGCGTGGGGAAGTGGGATATCAAACAAAACAGTCCGGGGTGATTTTCCTTCAGTCCTGGTTGATGTCTTTCTTGTTCTCCTGTCCAATGGAATTTCTTGGATCTACAAATCAAGGTGAAGAGAAGCGCACAATTGTTGGGTCCGATTCTCGATTGATCTCAATGTACACAACAAGATATCACACGATGACACAAGAAACACACGTACCTCAATGGCCACACTAATCGTCTAGCCTCACGAGCACGATCACAGCACAGATTGGACGCCACGAGCACTAGTAGCCTTCTCCCAACTACGTAAGCAAGAACACAGTTAGTGCACAGCGAACGTGTACTTGACACACAGGAAGCAAGCCAATTTACAAGTTTTACTCTGATAATTATGTGACTCAAAATAGCATCGATTAATGCAAGAAAAAGATTATGCCAATCAAGTGCAGAGTTAGCAAAGTTCAATCGATCATAAGTCACGGACTTAGCAAAGTTCAATCGGTCATAGGTCATGGATTAGACGGACGGAGTGAATGTTTTCCGTATGACGCGATATGATTGATTATTCTCCGCGAGATTAGTATTGATTAGAGATGCTCCTAATTGAAGATACTCGAAAAGTAGTCAGTTTTAGGTAAAAATAGTCTTTTTACCTAACAACAATCGGGGTGAGCTGTTCGTCTTTTCGGGTTACTTACACCGTCGTTCCACCAATAGCTTAGGAACCTCCACAGAAGGAGCTGAGTGGCCTACCAACTAACTAGCACCACGAGACAATAATAACACTATACAAAATTGGAGTGAGATCACGTCCTGTAAACTACCGGCTGGTCAGCCTGATTGTTTTTACTGAAAAGTGTTGTAAAGACTGGTAGGGAGCAGACTCCGACAACATCTGGAGAGCCACAAATCACTTCGCGAACAACGATATCGTCCCCCTCCCCTCAGAAGTTTTTCAAACGCCTTGCTAGCCCCAAAGTATTGTACTGAAGCTAAATCAAAAAATCGCTTAACGGGTATTGTTTTTGTTGACCTAGCACAGGCCGTTGAGGTATCGCTGGACAGGTTTGTAATAAAGCTTCGAGATGTGGGTCTTACAAACTCCATGTCTAACTCGATTCACGACTTCCTGAGAGCAAGATAGTCCTCAGCCAGGGTCCGAAATGTACTTTTCACTTCCGGGATGAAAAANAAGTACTCCTTCGGATTCCATTTTATACCCCCTGCTATACCCGGCCTCGTCTACACCGATTGACTAAAGGCATGGAAAGCGCCTTATTTAGCGAGGAGCCACTAGTCTTTCTGGAGAGAGCTGAGCAGCTTACCCAAAGGAAGACAATTGAACACTTCCATCTAACATTTCTAAATTTACAGTTTTTTGCAGTTTATACAGCCATTATTCACGTACTTTAGTTCGACGGTTTTGATTGTCCATTTAGATGATTCAATGGGCGAAAGTTGGAATGTTAAAGACAATGCGGATGCTAAAATAAAGAATTATAGTAGACTATTGCAAGGGCAATGAGTATTTGCGCAAACGCTCCTGTTCACGACACTCAGTCATTTTATTCGATGTCTCCAGCGGTTACATTGGCCCCGTGGTCTCCATTAACAAAGCTTAAGTGAACCTATGTGATTGAGTCTCCTGAAGGGTTTTTATACCTTTATCCCATGTCTTATGTTGACCACTCTTGGCTTTTCCACCCTCTACTTGCTTCGGCAAACATCATGCACCGCGGCAGCCTATTTGGAATCATGTGTCGTGTAGCACTACCGGCCAAATCGCTGCAGAATATACTCCACCCTTGATAAACAGTCGAATGTGCCGACCACGCCACTGATTTACTAAGTTGGCAAATGCCAATCGAGCCCTCTGTATGCGTACCGACACTTCATCTGCTATTCTTCCACTTGCTCCATTGATTCCACAGTTAGGGTAGGGTTGGGAGCTGAGCCAACCCAAACCTGTAGCGACATTTTTCACTTTGAAGGTGCCAAACGCTTACCGAAAATAGCTACGCTAACACTTGAACTATTCAGAAACGCTTTCAGTTTACCTGGATCTTCACTTAGCAGTACGATCTAGTCCACATACTTCAGATCAGATAATTTGTCGGCTGAGAGCAAATCGATGCCACTGTCCTTGCATCAGGACAGGGCTGTTTCCGTATTTGACTCCATTGGGAAGTTAAATAGAAACGAAGAACAAGGATAACCCTGATGAACACCGCTTTCCGTGGTGAACGTGGGCGAAAAGTGCCATAAGCGCGGACTTAGGCTCAACTATTAGTATAAAAAGAGGAATATTGAAATAAACTTCTGGTGTACACCCTTCAGGGAGCAGTAGAGCCAAAGTTTGAAACGGGCGACTGAGTCGAAGGCCGCATTCAGATTTTAGAAATAAGGACGGTGGGTCTACGAAAGGAATATCGGTCTTTCAGAATTTGGCGAAAAGTTAAAATGTGGTCCATATAACCTCGAACAAGTCTGAAACCAACGTGGTTCTCGCGTGCACCCTTCACATGCGGCAGGCAATCAACGGAATCTGATGTCAGCGAGAGATTTAGAGACGATGTTAATCAAGGCAGTTCCCCTATCTTCGCACAAGAGCATCTATCACCTTTCTTGTAAATAGGTAAAATGACCGACTCACGCGATTCACTTAGAACCTGTTCGTTCTCCCTTACTGAACCTTCGAGTTTCGTTGACAGAGAAACTAACGCGGAGCCTCCATCCTTAAAAGCCGACAGCTTATCCGGGCCGCAGGCCTTATACCTTTTGAGATATCTTGTTTCTCCATTTCACATTTAGGACTGGTATCTAATGGGCGCATCTGTTCAGTCGACGGGGGTGGGTGGGTAGGAATCGACAAATCTAATTTCGACAGGGACCAGTTGAACTGATCCTCGAAATGCTCAGTCCATCGTTCAAGACGGCGTTGCTGAATGTAAATCAGCTTGTCGTCGAATTCCTTAATTACCTCACGCCTGCTTTCCTTGAATCTGTATTTCCAATGAGACGGAAACGCGTGCCACTATTACTAATATCCGCAGCTTTCATCATATCCCTAGCCACCACCTCTCGCAGTCGTTCTTCAGGCTCTTGAAGATCTGCACTCTATCGTATTTGGCATCAAGACGAATTGTCCTGCGGGCTTCCAGCAAGGTAGCTGAGGTCGACGAGATCCATTGTTCGTGCTTTGAGCTTGCTCCAGAATTCCGCGTTGTTGTGATCGATATTTAGATAACTACCTTGATTTGCATCCAGTGTTCATTAAATCCCTCGGATAGTCCTTGAACAGAGAGGTGATAAGAGAGCTCCGCCTCGAAAACCGATTTGCAACTGTCGTTTACATTATATTGTGTTCATCCATTTCCGATTTTTCGCAGTCGTTTGCCAGACGTAGGGAGAACCGATCTCGTAGCAGAGCACGGCAAATATCTACGGGTGTTGACTATCGAGATCGACAGAGGTAGCTGATGGCGATGTGGTTGATTTGAATCTTTCGACGTGAAGAGGTGTGGGGTCCTGTCAGACGGTGTTGATTTTCGTGGGAGAAGTTGGTTCATAAGAAAAATTTGTGCTTTACGGAAAGTTTGAGTAAAACATCTTCACCCCTGTTTCACCACACATCTGCATATGCATATGCATTGCGAGTTTAGCAGCGATCAGTGAAGTTCGCTTCTCTGTATTTCGCTGTAGGATGATTATGATGATTATGGCTCTGCAGTGTTTTCCATTGCCGTGGGAGAGTTGGCGAAAGTGGCCAACCTCCATGAACGCAGCCACGGACATTCCCTCCTAATCACAAATCTGCACATGGAGAGCCACCATCCAATCCATGATGACTACGTCCCAGGAGAAAATTGTGTACTTCCTGCGTTCAGATCTGCAACAGAAGTTCCCACGAAAGGCTAACGACCGCATGAAGGGACACTCGTCAACTAAGAAAGCTGGATTCCCACGGACTCTTACTGGGGTATCGCTTGTCCAGGAGATTTAGCAACATCTGAAACCCTGTCCTGGTGGAGTTGGTAGAAGAGGTAAATGATGACATTCAAAAGGCTTCTGGGTAATTTCCTGTTGGATAAACACTAAGCTTGCGCCTCGGATCCAGTGGATGAGATGCTTATATGAGACGATCCACAGTGCTTTTCATTCTAGAAGAATCCTCGAACCAGTGTAATGATCCAGTTTCGTCGGATAATCTAGGATTTCATTGTAAGTTATATCCTTTGAAGCTTTTATGAACTTCGAGAATCATCCGTGGATCGGGAGATTGAGTTATACTTGAATTATACTTTGAATTCTGCTTACTATTCTTCCTTATGGTGTGTAATAAGTTGTTCATTATGAAGAACGCATTTCCCCACCAATGAGCATTTCTGAACGAATTGAATCGAAAATCGTTGCACACCATTTTGTTCGTTAAAGGCTAATGAAAAACCGTGATTTATAGTACGCCGACACCTGGGCAACGCTCACTTATCCGATTATTATTATTATTATTATTATTATTATTATTATTATTATTATTATTATTATTATTAT